TTCATCTGTAGCTAGGCCTTTGTAACTTCCTCCTCTCTAGCTAGCCCCCAACAACCACAAAAAGGTAATTTTTCTTGCCCTATTTTTTTTTCTTCTTTGGTTTAAAATCCTAATAAAATTGGCTATGTTAAGTGGTGAACAACATGTTGTAGAGTTTAGGCAATTTATAGATTTCCAAGTTCTGGTTTTATTATATTGTGTGAATAATTTTTGAAACTCCATTGAAATTGAAAATAAATGTGTGAATGAAGAGTGAAACTCCATCAGACTACTATTTATAATTATTACGTAAATATGAGCAAACTCTTGATTTACACTTCGTATATGCTCAACTTTAATTTAGATTTTAGTTTTTGTATATAATCTTGGTATAAATGAGGGTATGCGGCCCCATTACCTTGTTCTTTTTTTTAGTTCTTTTTTTTTTCGAGTGTTAGAGCTAGGCTGATTGGAGGTTGGGATTTCCTTAAGTAATAAGATGATATTTATTTTTTTAATTTATTTATATGTTTATGAATCGGATTTAGGGGTATAGGTCAAGAAATATAGATTTCAATGAATTCCAATTCGAATTTTAGATTCGTAGCCTCAGCTTCCAGTGAATGTTTCATCAATGATTTATTTTATGAAAATTATGATATTAATTTTGCATGTAGATGTTTTTGTTAGCTTCGTTTTGATATATGGTATGCATAAATTGGAATTATATTGATCAAGTTATGAACCATTTCCAAAAATTGCACGATTTCTGAGTCATCTATGAATTGTGTGATAAATTAGATTCTATCTTAGCCCGATTCATGCGATTCTAATTGGATATGATTACAAACTTATAAATCTGATTTTCAGCGAAATTTCATGCTCTTTGGTTGAAAGAATGATTTATTTGGAATTTTAAAGTTGAATGCTATGTTCTAAAATTCTGCTCGTGTTACTGTACTAAATTAATTATTTCTCTTCCATGGATAAGTATTTTACTGTACTGTTTTAACATGGTGTACTTAACATATATGTGAACATTGTGTGAAAATTTCATAAGGTTTGTATGTACGGTTTAAGAGATAAGAATTTTCAAAATTGAAGTACAAAAGCTGCCAAATTTTCTTAAATATAGTACTGTGACTGAAAAGAGTTGTAGGAACGTTATTTAGAGGACAGTTCTATTTAAGGATACCTCTCGATTGATTTAGGACTGATAAGGGTATAGGTTCGCTTAAGTAATTTGAAGTTCATCATTAAGGTTTAATTGTAAATTGTTTTGGAATCTTAATGTGATTATATTGCAAAGCTGATACGTTTCTTTATAGTTCTTTGGAATAGAGTATGTGGATTTGAATTTCATGTATTATGTGTGCATGTGCTATTGTAGTTATCGTATGCTTATACGTTAACATAAATGTATAACCTAGAAAACGTATGAACGATGCATTTAAGATAATTACATTGGTATGTTATAACTGTGAAAGTGGTTATATGAAATAATATGATAATCCCCTCTCTTGTATGTGATACATATATGTTTATTCCAGTGAATATAATTGTTTTTAATACAAAATAATAGATCATTGCAAAAAACATTGATACAAAATCAGTATTAGGATTGCGATCGTATTAGCATTAGAATTATGATTATAATTAATATTCTTTGAATTAGTATTAGTATTAAAACTAGGATTAGGATTCGGATTAACATAGTATTAGAATTAATATTAGGATTAGGATTATAATTATGATTAATATTAATATTAGAATTACAATTAAGATTAGTGTACTACAATTAGTGACATGTATTAGTATTAGGATTATGATTAGCATTTCGATTACGATTATGATTAGAATTAAGATTAAATTTATAATTAAAATTAATATTAACATTAGCATTAACATTAGCATTAGCATTAGCATTGGTATTATTAGTATTAAAATTATTAGGGTTAGGATTATAATTATGATTAGGATTAGAATCACGATTAGTGTTATGAATAGGAGTAGGAATAAGATAAGAATTTGGATATTATTACGATTATAATAATAGCATTAGTATAACCAGTTCAGCATTAACATAAAAATTAGTATTAGCATTAGTATATGTAAATTAGCTTTAATAGAAACACTATTAACATATTAGTATTAGTAACAGAATTAATATTTGTATTAGTATTAGTATTAATATTAGTATTAGTATTAGCATTAACATTAGTGTTAGTATTAGTATTAGTATTAGTATTAGTATTAGTATTAGTATTAGTATTAGTATTAGTATTAGTATTAGTATTAGTATTAGTATTAGTGTTAGTGTTAGTATTAATATTAGTATTAGTATTAGTATTAGTATTAGTATTAGTATTAGTCTTAGTACTACTATTAGTATTAATATTAATATCAGTATCAGTATCAATATGAGTATTAGTACGAGTATCAGTCTTAGTATCAGTATTAATATCAGTATTAGTATTAATATTAGTATTACTACTAGTATTAACATTTGTATTGGTATTAGTATTAGTATTAGTATGAGTGTTAGTATTAGTATTTGTAGAATTACGATTAGTAATAGTATTAGTATTAGTATAGTATTAGTATATTAATATTAGTATTAGTATTGGTATTGGTATTGGTATTGGTATTGGTATTAGTGTTAGTATTAGTATTAGTATTAATATTAGTATTAGTATTAGTATTAGTATTAGTATTAATATTAGTATTGATATCCGTATTGGTATCGGTATTGGTATCAACATTGGTATCAATAATGGCGTACATATTTTATCTCTTTTGCAATATTTATAAGTTGTACTGTTGTTTTAGTAATGTGCATCACTAATTGAACGCCGTTAGTGATAAACTTACAGGTTATTTGAATATCTATTGTGTTACTTCTATGCTACCGTATTTGTTGTTAAGTTAGTTATTTATTGCAGAAGATTAACATGGTGTAGTAGATTGCATTTCATGAAATAGAGTTATACCATATGTTTTAAATGATTTCACTTAATCTTTATATCGTATTTTGTGCGCTTCGCGCTTTCTTCTTTATAATACTTAATTGAATTTCATATGTAACTCTGAATTAAGAGATAAAGTTTATATTTTTTTTTATTCCTTCTATTTTGTTTTATTTGAATTCGTGTTGTTATAAAGAGATAGTCATTTACATATTATAATTATTTCTCATTTCAAAATTAATTTCCGTGCAACGCACGAATGAAGTACTAGTTAAAGTGGAAACATTAAACTAAATAAGAATACTAAACAACTAAAATAAAATTAATAAATAATAAACAAATAAAATTGATTATCGATATTAACCAACCAACCAACTTTTAACATATTATCAACTAACAATGGATCCAACTATATAGGGATTGATTGATGCGGCAAAAAAATATGGATAAAAAAATTGGTTGATTGTTGAGTAAAGCCAACCCATAAACAACCCAACGAATACAAAATTAATAACTAAGGTGAAAGTTGAATTTGTTTTTTGAATTTCGCCGATTATAATCTAAAATTTTCATTTTAGAATGAGTTTTTTTCTCTCAATATCATAAATTTTGATTCCAAAATAAAAAATCGAAAATGAATGTCTACATAAAATTCAGAATTTCCAAATTCAAGAATTTAGTATGATATTTGAAATGTGAAAAAAGTAAACATAAAAATGAATAAAAATAAGGGGTAATGGCAAATAGGCCCATGACAAGGGCACTTAATTAAAAGAGAGACATCCAACTTTTTTGTCTTTCAAATAAATTCAGCACATTCAAACTTATTTGCAAATAAGAAAAATCTTTTTATATATACCAAAATTACCCTCAATTCATTGAAACTCAATTCAACTCCAATTTCATGATTTACACCCCAATTTAGCCCAATTTCATCAATTAACCAATTTTAACCCTAATTTCAATTTTGACCCCAATTTTAACCCTAATTCTTATCAATTCCACCCATTATGCTCTAACTTCCTTAACATTACACATTGACTCTGGATTTAAACAAATATATCATATTAACCCCCCAATTTTTTTTTTCAGAATTTTTTTTTCTGAAATGTTTTTTTTCCGGCCAGATTCCGGCGTTGACTTTTTTTTTTTTTATAATTTTGTTTTTTCTTAATTTTTTTTAATTACTATTACTGTCTTGGCTGCTAAATTACTGTCTCCGGCAGTTATTTAAATAACTGTCGGAGACAGTAATTTAGCTGTTAATTGACTTTTTTTTTTCTTCAAAAATATTTTAATTAATATTACTGTATTTGTTGGTAAATTACTGTCTCCAGCAGTTACTTAACTGTTGGAGACAGTGATTTAATTGTTAATTGACTTTTTTATTCTTAAAAAAATATTTTTAATTAATATTACTGTATTCGTTTGCTCAATTACTGTCTCCAGCAGTTATTTAACTGTCGGAGACAGTAATTTAACTGTTAATTGACTTTTTTTGCTTAAAAAAATATATTTTAAGTAATAGTACTGCCTTAGATGCTAATTTAACTGTCTTCAACAGTAATTTAACTGTCTTAGACAATATTAATAATATTACTGTTCGGGAAAAATAATATTCATAATATTACTGTACGGAAAAATAATATTCGTAATATTATTGTCCCAAACAGTAATATTACTGTATGGGAGTAATTTAGTAGCTAAAACAGTAATATTAATTAAAATATTTTTTTCTTCTAAGAAAAAAAAATTAAAAATAAAAGTTTTCAAAAAAAAAAAAAAAAAAAAAAAGTCAATGCCGGAATCTGGCCGGAAAAAAAATATTTCGGAAAAAAAATTATTTTCTGAAAAAAAAAATTTGGGGGGTTAATGTGATATATTTGTTAAAATCCGTGGTCAATGTGTAATATTAAGGAAGTTAAAGCATAATGGGTGGAATTGATAAGAATTATATTATTGAGGGTATTTTAGACTAAAGACATGGGGATGGGCTTAATTGAGAGACTGTTTTTTTTATGAACCAAAATGCATTTAAGTCCCATGTGATGGGCTTTTTTGCCATTAGCCCTAAAAATAAAGAGTAAAGAGCAAATACTAATGATTCATCTTGAAATTTTGTTTAAAAAACACAGAAATTAAAGAATTAGGGGCTCCATTCATAAATATAATATAAATGCTACAAAAACTAAAAATTGGACTTTGTATAGCCCCATACAAAATACAAAGAACAATAATTATTATTTGGTTTTTTTTGAGAAAAAAAAAAAAAAAAACAAAGAACATGAAGTACATGAAGAATAACTTTTTTCTCACATATCCTTGTCGGAGCCCGGATCCCATACATGCCCCACACCATAGTATGATTGCACCCTCAAAAGTAACCCACACACACACACAACAACATTAATTTTCAACCACCAGTTAACACCTAGTAAAAACACACACACACACACACACACAGTTCCTCGTCAACTTGTCCCAAAGTGACAAAAGAAAAAACAGTTACCCACTACTACTACTCCTACTCTGAAACTGCTGGAAATAAAATAAATTAATAAAATAAAATAAAAAAAAAAAAGAAAATACTGTTTTTAACTATATCTGGAATCATTACACAAAAACGCAAAACACTACCCAATCAAAGCAAATGCAAGATCCAAACTCCAAGCACTCGATGAACCAAGCCCCGCCCTTTTCCGCCGCAATGCGGCCCTCCCTCCATCGGAGAGCCCACTCCGAGGTCAACTTCCGGCTGCCGGAGGACCTAGATCTGGTCTCCGACCACTTCGACGCGCCGGCGGGGAGTTTCGAGGAGATGGGATCCGAGGACGATCTCTTCTCTACTTACATGGACATCGAAAAGCTCAGCGGTGGACCCGCTGCCGGCGCCGGATCTGGCGTCGCCGACTCTGCTTTCGACAATGCCGGCGGCGGCCCGTCTGGTGAGGACGGCGGCGGCGGCGGCGGTGGTGGTGATGGGAGGCCGAGGCATAGGCATAGTAACTCGGTGGATAGCTCGGGGTTCTTGTTTAATGAGAATGGTATTGAAGCTAAGAAAGCTATGGCGCCTGAAAAACTTGCTGAGTTGTGGGCTCTTGATCCTAAACGCGCTAAAAGGTTTTTTTTTTTTTTTTTTTAATTTATTAATTCTTGATTTTGTTGTTCATTAGATTTTGCTAGTATTGTTGATTTGAATTTATGGGGTTTTTAGGTTAGTTAGATCTTGAGAATTGAATTTGTCGATTTTGTGAATCTTAAGAAGTTGACTGAATGTTTGACTATTCCTCTAATCGATAATCGAATTTCCCACAATAGCAATTTCTTGGAATAACAATGCTTTGATCTAGATTAGTGTTTTCGGGATACCTCTCATACTCAGATCTAATTGTAAATTGCAACCGGGATTTCGTAAAATCGATTTTTGACTTACTAATCGTTCATCTTGCTTATATTGATCGGTTGTTTCGAACGTATCTATGATATATGTAAATGACTTATGTTTCTTGTATGGATAATTTTGGTGCAGGATATTGGCGAATCGGCAATCTGCAGCTCGATCGAAAGAGAGAAAGTCGAGGTACATATCTGAACTGGAGAGGAAAGTGCAGACTCTTCAGACAGAGGCAACAACTCTCTCTGCACAACTCACACTCTTCCAGGTATTCTTTCGACTGTTTTTCGTTTTTAGTTAGTGTTACATTAAGTTAGAAAGACCCCGCGAGAACTAATCTTTGACCCGGTCAGCATATTACTGAGTTTGAGTTTGAGTTCGAGGGAAAAACGTTGATTTTATATGTTCGTGTAATATTCGAACAATTATTTGTTAGGTCGATTTTCTTGGACTAAAACTTCTTTGTCTTGCAGAGAGATACATCGGGGCTGAGTAACGAGAACACGGAGCTCAAACTCCGGTTACAAGCCATGGAACAGCAAGCTCAATTGCGTGACGGTTAGTAATAAAATAAAATAAAAAATTCGAATTATATTTAACGATTCTTGATTAAATAATTTTTTAACGAAATTGAAAATATATATATCCATGCAGCGCTGAACGAAGCACTGAAGCAGGAAGTGGACAGGCTGAGGGTCGCCACGGGAGAAATGTCGACCTCATCGGAGACGTACGATCTGGCGATGCAGCATGTACAGTACAATCAGACGGTCTACTATACGCCACCTGGCGGCGGCATGAACGAGAATTCTCGGTACATGCAAATGCAGCAGTTTCACAATCAGCAAATTTCGGGAGGTGGCAACAATAATCATTTGCGGGACGCGTTCAACCAGCAGGACCCGCTCGGTTGCTTCCAAGGTCTCGATATCAGTAACAGAGGATCGCAACATCTCGTGAAATCCGAAGGCCCTTCTATCTCCGCTACCGAAAGCAGCACAACTTTATGATAATTAATTAATTAATTAATTAATTATTTCAGGTTCTTAATTTTTAATTTTTTTTTAATTAATGATTTGTTCCATTAACACGAAAAAAGGAGGGCCGCCTATTTGTTTGGTTTTGTTCATAGACTGACAACGAACGTGTTTAGCATCGTCGTGGAGATCGGCAACTAGTTCATTATTTTTTCATTTTTTAATTTCTTTTTCGGGTTTTTGTGTTTAACTTAATGATGATTTTTCATATGTTGTTTTTGTTCGATGTTGTTAGTTTAAGTTTGTTTAATTTGTTAAGGTTCAACTGAAAAATGGTGTCTTGTTCATTAGTGTTTGTTTGAAGGGTTCACATCTTGTGCTCATTGTAATTGAGATATTTGATATTATTATTAACTCCAATGTTCAATGTTGTATTCTTGGTATTATGGTTTGTCATTGTATTATTTATTTATTTATTTTAAGTAACTGCATAAGTTTTGTCCGAGTTATATTTATTCGAATGAGCCGATCAGCCGATATTTAATATAAATTGGATTCCACTAATTTTTTGACATGTGGTACTCTTAAGTTTTAAGTCTTAATAAATCAGGCCCATTATAATTAGGGTTAGAGGGGTTACAGTTTTTTTTTTTTTTTTTTTCATTCAGTTATTAGAATACTAATTATATTTTTATTTAAACTATCCATGTGTCAATCATCCTATGGCATCCGATTTGTCTACTAAAACAGGTTATCCGGTCTAAATTTGCACCCTTATTCGTATTTACCATTTAGTAGTGATGTATAAATGGATAAATTACCGCCCCTGTAATAAGTTAAAATTACGAAAAAATTTCTTATGTTTGGGTAATTATGGCCACCTTTAGGGTGTCAAAATCAACATAATTTTTTAGATTTCGTGGAATGTTCTCTTAGTTTGTACTCATTTTGTGCAAAACACGTAGTTTTGATGCACCACAATCTGATATTTACACGTCAAAAAATACATGTTATGATCATCTTGTTTCAAAATGTGGAGTTCGAATGAATTAAAACGGGTACAAACTAGAGAATATTTTACACAATCTAGAAGATTTTACTAAATTTGACACGTATATATAGTTGAGAGGGGTGATTGTAACTACACAAACAAGAAGAATTTCTTCGTAATTTGATATTAGCTCTTGGAGTTACCTTAATTTATCCCATATAAATTGATGGGACATTAGTTCCAAAACTAAATTGACACATACGACATGTAGTCTGTAGTCAAAGCAAATAAAGGTGAGTGGCCCCACGTTCAAATAATTGAACTAAGTTTTTTCCCATCTTATTTTGACTCATCGGTACTAACATGACTTTTGAAATTTTAGCTAATAAACTCAAAAGAATATAAGGATAACCAAAGTTTACATAATGATCAAAATTTCAAGTGTTAGCCTTCTAATTCCAATAATGAGCAATTTTTATTATCTTTTCCAGAAAAGTGAGAAGCTTTTATAACTTAAAAATTGCTTTGAATATTTTAATTACTTTGCAACCTCCATTGCAATGACAATAAGACATGTATTAAAAAAAAAAAAAAAGCTGATTTTTCGGTTCTTTTCTGTCCTATAAATATAGTCATGACTCATTAGGGCATCTTTGGTTTGGGGTATTAGAAGGGACGGGATTTGTTGTACCATTATGTACAATGTTTGGTTCACTTGACGAAGTCATCCTTGATAGATGGGCCCACCGTTTTAATACCCCATTTGAATTATTAGTTGTCAAGCCAAAATTGGCTTGACTAATTATCAGGTATTGTATCCCATTTTCTTGGCCGTGTGCAATGTCGAAAATAACCTTAGAAAACACATCAATTACAAAATTAATAGGTATAAATAGTACAATCTTCATCTTCTTCTCTCTTCCCGACACACATACACAAAACATGCATATTTTCTTATATATTTGGGGCACTTTGATAATATTTGTTCTATTAGCTTCTTATGATCATAGCTAGACGAAATATCAACGATCACATAAGTTGCCCTCTTGGGTTGTGCCTTTGGGTGGGCCCCTCTCTTGGGTCGTATGCTCGGGTGGGCCCTAGCAGGCTGGATCTTATCTAAATGAGCCTTGTTTCTTGGACTATTTCTTGGCATGAACATACTGTAAACAACATATCAGATGATCTCTGATGGGATCAGTTTGGCAAGTTTGGACCAAACTTCCCATATTGGGCTTATTAAATAGTATAAGGATAAAATATATGGGCCGAAAGAGATTTATTGGGCCTACTAACCCAATACACATCAAAGATAGAAGCTAGCAATTAACGAGCTCGCCAACCCATCCGAACATGTTAGAGACAAATCAACGCAAAAGGTGGCGAGCTGAAAGAGAGCCATTAGAAGTAGAAGACTGTTGAGTGTAAATTTTACGCTCAATACGTTTACTTTATGTATATCTTTTGTTTAGATTTAATTATATTTGTGCTTTAATTGATTGATTTTGTGTTTTATAGATAAAAAACGAGAATTAGGTGTCCACGAAGGAAAAAAAATATCAAAAAGAAAGGAAAAAGTTGCAAATAAGGAAATAAATCAAATTGGAAGAAGAAATCTCGCCACAGCTTTGGCAGTGTCCACCATTTCAAGCATATCTCTCTCATACGAACTCTAAATCAGCTGATTTTGGCGGCATTGGAAAGCTAATTTCAAGGGCTACAATTCGTAATCACACGCAACATTCCAAAATTAGGACTACAACATGGCGAAAATCGAAGAACAAATCGTGATGGGGGAAAATGGCGGAAATTGATTCCTATTAGGTTTCCACTACTTCCTTATCAAGAAAAGCCTATAAAAGCAACGAGTCTCTACACCATAAGCACGAAATTTTACACCACAATACGCGAGGAACGAAGATCAACGAAGACTCAAGCATAGTTTTTCTTCTTTGATTTATTTCTTTTATTTTCTTTATCATAAGAATCACGAGTAGCTAAGTCTTTAGTTTCTACGATTTTATTTGGATTTATGAACCCTTTTCTATGATTTTATGCAAGTTTTAACTCCGGATTATTTCTTTTACTTGTTTTATTAAGTTCATGAAACTGGCCACTTTATGCGCTTTTATGTTATTGTTAATCGCATGAATCGGAAGATCGGGTTAATAATTAGAACTGTGGTAGAAGAGCCTCTGTGGTATTAACATAGGAATATAGTTAATCTCTTAGGTAACCATTATTAAGATTTATGTTTAACGCTATGTTCTAGAATTAATTGCGTAGGAATAGAGTAATTGAATCTAGGGTATTAGAATCGTAATACACGCGGAAGCGGGTTATGATTAATTTAGCATCTCGGGTTAATAATCCGGGTTAATTACTTGCATAATTGAAGGAATTGGGGGAGTAATAATGACATGGGGGGAAGAATAAAATCCTAGGTTTGTTTACTCTCATAAATCTTCGTGTTTAATTTGCTTTCTTGCTTTGTCTTTTTAATTTGCTTTAATTTAGTTAATTCTCTCCAAAGTCGACTGTGTAGGGTGCACTTGATAATAATTGGTAGAATTTAGCGTCTATGATTAAATAAGTAAATATTCCTTGTGGGTTCGATATCCGGACTTTTAGTCCACTTTATTACTTGTACGATACGTGCACTTGCGTGTAGGTATTACTACCAACAAGTTTTTGGCGCCGTTGGCGGGGAATATTTTAATTATTTATTTTATTCTAGTTCTAGATTTGAACAATTTTCACGATTCACCCATTTAATTTTTGTTTTATTTTAGTTTTCTTTTTAGTTACTGTGTATGCGCTGGAGACTCGATCTTGCTGGAGAACCGTTTGATCTCGAAATCCAACGTACTTTTCGAGCCACTATGAGACGTCAACGTGCAAACAATATAATGACAGACGAAGAACGCAGAGACGTAGAGGGTCATTTACTCGATGCGAATGGAATTCGCATCCAAGACCCACCCCCTCAACTTCCATTACAGCCAGCAGTTAGGCCACGGACACTTCAAGATTACATAATCCCAAACTCTCGACGGATTCCGCCCGAGCATCCAATATCCACCTATTGAGGCGTACAATTTTGAGATCAAGCAAGGCCTCTTGACGATGCTCCAAAATAACGGGCTATTTAGTGAATTGGCGGGTGAAGATCCCCATCTTTACATTGTCAATTTTCTAGATACCTGTAATTCCCACCGTCAAAACGGCGTTTCCCAGAGGCGCTTCAATTAATTTTCTTCAAGCACTCCTTACAAGGAAGAGCTCGCCAGTGGTTGATGTCCCAAGCCCCCCACTTTATCTCTCCGTGGCCTCAACTCCTCAACCTTTTCATGAAAGTTTACAGCTTACCCGAAAAGGACGAGAGAATCCGACGAGAAATTCATAATTTCGTCCAAGAGCAAGGTGAGCAATTATACGAGGCATGGGAGAGATTTAAAACTCTTTTGTGGCAGTGTCCAACACATGGAGTCGAACAATGACGGCAAATCCACATCTTCTACCAAGGGATTAATGAGAATGCACGAACTGTCTTAGATGCATCAACCGGGGGAAATTTCATGAGTCAATCGATACCGGATGCATTTATCATGTTGGATCAAATTGCACAAAATCGGTTTGCCAAGTCAAGCGAGAGGACGGTTAGTGGAGCCAAGAAAGTTCTCGCAGTGTTGGAGTTAGATGCAATTACGGCCCTTCAAGCTCAAGTGACCCAAATTGCTCAACAAAATCAACTCCTTCTACAGCACATCAAAGCAAGTCCACCACAACAAGTCCAAGCAATTGATTCTCCATGTTGTGAAATTTGCGGTGGAAATCACTACACGCTCCAATGCCAACAAGATGTGGAATCGCTCAAATACGTTAATAACGCGCCTCGCCAATTCCAAAATCAAGGGTGGAGATCACAAGGGCAATATGGAGGAAATCAACAAGGCCACGGATATCAAAGACCTCAAGGTCAATTCCAAAATTAAGCCCCTCCTCAACTAAGCTATCAAGGCAACAATCCGCCAGCCCAAAAATCAAACACGGAGGAAATATTGGCCCAATTCATGACTGCTACCCAAGCCTCGCTACGGAATTTGGAGAATCAATTCGCTCAATTCGTTATGAATCAAGAGAACCGTCCGGCGGGAGCATTGCCATTGAATACGGAAGATCCTCGAAAGCAAAAGTTCGAGAAGTGCCAAGCTATCGATTTCAAGATTGAGAAAAATGAAGAAATTCAAGTCAAGCCGCAAGTCACTGTAGCCGAATGGGTCGAGCCAATCCCATATCCACAAAGATTGCTACCGAAAAAAATCGAGGTCGAGACGTGCCAAGCAGTCACCTTGAAGAACGGTAAGACATTGGAGGAAGCCCCACAAAAAGAGAAGAGAAACGCGGTAATCGAGAAGCCGAAAGTGAATGAGGAAAAAGAATCAACTCATGA